ATATATATATATATATATATATATATATATATATATATATATATATATATATAGATATATATATATATATAATTATATTAATCTTATATATATATATATATATTCATAAACATATCAACACATGTAATACATGGAAGCCGCCATATTCTTGCAACAACCAAAGTTTGCGCATCTCTTACTAGAGAATCTCTAAGTGCAGCTGAAAAGAACAGACCACTGCTTGTGTTGTCATTCAGCTAATGATCCTAACCGGAAACGTATCCCAAACATGGCGCCGCCAATCAGAACGTTGACATATGGTGTTCGATCTCTTATTACAGGATCTCTAGCCAACTTCGAAGTACAAATTGGGCGTCCGCGACTGGCGCGTGGCGCCAGCTAGTGGCGCTCGCGAGCGGCTCTCCGAGCAGCTGACCGTTGGTGCCTTCGGCAGTGTGCGCGCAGTAGCGCGCCACGTGTTGTGTGAGAGTGAGTTGTTGTTCGTGTTCGCTAATCAAGCCGGTTATCTAAGACGCGTATTCGACACTCGAATTGACAGCGTGGACGACGGGACCGATCCGCGCAATGGAGAATGTTTCCGTGTCCAAAGTAAGCGATACGAAGCGTGCAACCTGTTGCTGCCATTGGCTTAACCTCAAAATGCGGAGCGTGCTAAAACGCGCCGCGCCGATGATTCATTACTGTCACTTTTATACGGCCGTTAAAAGTTTATTGAAGAATGTTAACGAGTAGCACGTTGAAAGAGAGAGAGAAAGAGAATAATCGTTTCCTCGCGAAACTTCAGCTTTTACCTCCTTTCGATTGTTTATGACTGCAGTTTAGGGACAATGAAGACGAGTCTTTTAATTAACAGTAAATGGATTAAAAAAATATATATATATAAACGACGCGTATCTAGAGATTGAAATTGTTTCACTATAAACTGCTCTTTGCAATGTCAACGATTTTCTCTCTAATAGTATAAGAAAGTACCAATTCTTAGGTAGGTCTCTCTAAGACATATTTTATTATTTTTCTCTTTAAATAAGAATATTTAAACTTTCAACATGGAACATATATATGTTTCAATATAAACATGTATGTTTTATGCTAAAAAATCAAATATTTGTATTTGAAGACCAAAACAATAAAAGTTGCCAGGATTAGGTATGTGTCCAATTTATTATTTCGCTCTTTAAAAATGAATATTTAAGCTCTCAACATGGAATATATGTATTCATCAGCATAAACATATGTATTTTATACTGAAAGTTTAAATATTCTTATCTAAAAAGATGGTGAAACAAAAATGGTTAGAATTAGGTATAGTTTATTATTTTGATCTTTATATTTGAATATTTAAATGTTCAATATAGAATATATGTATTTTTCAATACAAGCACATATACTGTACTCTCCATAAGTTTGGAAACACAGATAAAAATAAGGATATTAAAATGGATATGTTATTATAATTCTGTTTCGCATTTACCTTTATAAGATCAATCTTTATGTCATTTGATAGAGCAAAGTTTAAGAATCCACATTCTGTATTATTGTGCGATGAAGTTTAATGGAGTCATGAGTAACCGAAGTCAAAATGCTCAATTTTACTTTAACCCTTAGTAATACGGAAACATTATTTGAATCCTTAGTAATACGGAAACACAGAATTGTAGAGAAATTTTTTCAGAAAGTAAATTGTATAGGAAACTTCAATCTTTTACACGGAAGATATTGAAATTTTGCTCAGATTTTGTCTTGCGTTCGTGGCATTTCTCAAGTTGAGAAGAAACTTTTCCATTTTGTCCATTTTTATGAAAGCCAAATTATACTAGCGATTGACGATTACAGATTAGATTTTAACGAATCAACAAGTTTCAGCCTTGGCTTGCTTTATTCCAGTTGGTCAAAGATCAAAGATTAAAAATTGGAACTTGACCAGTTGAAATAAAGCAAGCCGCGGCTGAAGCTCGTTGATTCGTCAAAATCTAATCTTTAATCGTCAATCGTTAGTATAATTTGGCTTTCATGAAAACAAAATGGACAAAATAGAAAATTCTCTTCTCAATTTGAGACACGCCACGAATGCAAGAAAAATCTGACAAAATTTTTAGTTTCTTCCGTGTAAAAGATTGAAGTTTTGTATATAATTTACTTTATAAAAAAATTTCTCAACGATTTTGTGTTTTCGTATTACTAAGGGTTAAAGTAAAATTGAGCATTTTGACCTCGGTTGCTCATGAGTCCATTAAACTTCATCGCACAGCAATACAGAAAATGGATTCCTAAACTCGAAACTTCGCTCTATCAAATGACATAAATGCCGATCTAAAGGTAAAACAGAATTATTATAAAACATCTATTTAAATATCCTTATTTTTATCTACGTTTCCAAACTTATGGAGGGTACTGTATTTTACATTGAAAATTTAAATGTTCGTACTTAAAGATCAAAACAATAAGAATGCCCGGGAATTATATGCCCGGGAATTGATGCTTTTATCTTTAGCTATATAATGAATAAACTGAATGTGCAAAATTGATTAATATTGGGTTGTGTAATAATCTCGGATTTTTTCAGGTAAAATGAAACGTTTATATTTCCGTATTAATATAATTTTGTGGAACAATATGTGGCTTATTTTGATTGATAATCTCCAATCATTATTTGCATATGTTGTTTCGCAAAATTAATATGACGACACAGAAATATTATCGTTTCATTTTACCTGGAAAATTTGATATCACTTATTACACAATCCGATACATTGACTGATATGTAAAACTTGTTAATGAAATTGACGGGAATCCATATTTCTGAGGATTCGCATTTCTAAAACGTGTGTATTAATTACATCGCATCGCGCGCACATCGATTTTTAGTGCGCTCGTCATCGATCGTATAAATATCGTACTAGTCGATTTATGCGTTCGGTATGCGCCATTACGCAATTTACTCCATTACGCAAAATGCGGGGAAAAAATCTCTAATGTTCATAACGGTGAATCATACGACCCGATGTGTAATAATTGCGATAATTAATATTAATGCAATCTAGTAATGTTAAATTCTAAAGCAACGAGAGCAATAATTATCGTTACTCTATGTATACTAATATTAATGTAACATATCACGGGCAATCGGTATAATTGCCGCGCGGTCGGTACAAATATCATAACTTTCACAGGGCGTGTTCGCATACAAAGGAAGCTACAAAATTGGCAAGAAAATAAAAAGCAGAAACGATGTTCAAGATCCGGAATATTTTAACGAGTCTTGGTACGTTGCGTACAGCGAAATGTGGCAGTACATCGAACAAGCCGTAGAGGTACGCTCTAATCTCACACGGATATATTATCTATTAACGGATCTATAATTTAGCTCGATAGAAGTAGAACGACGATTAACGTCATCACATCATCATTCCAGAATGTGAGATCGAGAATGTTCCACGAAGTTATGTCCAATTTGGAGTCCTTCGTGTCGAAGGCGAAGGCAACGACGTTGAACACGATTTCCACAGAAATAGCCACAGCTATTTTGCTGACAGGTGAAAAACAAATCAGAATATTCCGTGTTTTTGGAAAAAAAATTATATTAGTCACCTAACCGATGTCGATTGAGCATTCAATATTGTTTTTTCGCGACACGTGAGTTATTCTAGAGATCTAATTTATCCTAACTAAGCACAAGCAACTCTTTTAAACACTAATTTCGTATTCGGTGAGCAAGAGACGACTTCTGTATTAAATTTGATTTCTTCGTGTTCGATGGGAACGAATTATTCATCAACCAGATAATCACCGTCATTGTTTGCGAACGTCCGCCAACGTCCCGTCAGCATTATCGGTATTGTTTTACCCGTGTTACATTATTATGCAGCGCCGTTTATTGAGAGAATTAGATCAGATTTGTTGACTGCAAAAGTATACTGACTAGCATATCCCTGTAGCGAATCTTGCCGATAAATGTTCGACAATTCGAAGTATTTTTCTTTCTTTTTTCTTCTAAACGAAGTGAAATGTCGTAGGAGTTAACGTTCCTGATTACACGGTGCTTTTCGATACGACGGTGTCTAAGCTCGGCAAGATAACGCCGCACATAGCAGTGCTGTGGAGCAGAAATTGCGGCAACGTGAAGAGCATCATCGAGGACACCGTGTATCAGCTTGTCAACGCATCGGAATCGGTTAGTTGGTCCGCTTGCTAGACAATATCACCGTTAATTGAGAAACTTCGCAGCCACTATCCGTACCGTGTTCTCTTGCTCGCAGGACGACGTACCCGCAGTGCCTAAGAATCGATGTACTATGCGCGTCTTGAAAGAACACTTCAAGAAATATCGCAACGCCGAAGATCCTTTGGTCGTGATTCTGCCGGATTTCGAGAGCTTCTCGACCAACGTATTGCACGACTTCATCCTGGTGCTGAGGTACTCGCGACTACGTATTTTGCACGCGACCGATAAAAAGACCGAATTTGCAAGATTAATTAATCTCTTTTAATGCACGGAAAAGAACATTTGGCCGGATTAATCAAATACAAACGAACTAGAAAATTCCAATTAAACTTTCCGAGTTGAAATTTTGGCCCTATATTAAACTTTGAATTCTACAATGCAGTAGAAGCTAAGTTAGCAATTTAGCAGTCAAAGTAGTTTAATAGTAAAGTAGATGGAATAGAGAGAGAGAGTAAAGCTTGAAAAGTAGGATCAAAATTTCGACCAGAATTCTGTTCAAATTAATTAGAAATCTTGTTAAATTGAACAGAATTTTGGTAAATTCAATTGGAATTTCTGATTCGTTTATATTTTGCTAGAAATTTGGTTAGTCTGGCCAAACTGTTTTTCCCGTGTGGTAATTTAAAATTACGATTTTTCCCAGAACAAGGCTTTTTCTTTTTGACAAGCATATTTAGGATTCTTTTCTCTTCACTGCTATCTTCTTTGAAGAATTTTGAGATACTACTTGAGATTAAAACGAATCACACGCGCGACGAAGGTGTCTAGTTTCGTAACGTTCTCTAGCGAATTATTTGCAGTTCGTACACGAGCACGTTAAAGTTTGTGCTGATACTCGGCGTCGCGACCAGCTTGCACATCGTACACCGCTCATTGACGTATGATGTCACATCCAAGTTAACGGTTCAGGCAAGTTACACGAGTGCAGCTATGTTTGGAGATACTTGGTTCGCGAGTTCACTTTGCGAGACGCGTGGCGTTCCCGAGTTATTCGACACGTCGTTTCTTTTTCTCTAGGTTTTCCACACGCAAACGCAAATGAAGACACTGACCGACGTATTGGAGAGCACCGTTTTTTCTACTGAGATACCGTTTAAACTTATTGGCCGTGCGTTTCAATTGTTGACGGATATCTTTCTGTTCTACGATTTCTCGGTGGATCATTTCTTACAGAATTACAAGGTAACGCGCGCGCGATAAATCAGAGAATTTATTTATTCATCGCGCTTATTCATCGCGCTCGACTGACGCTCTCACGAGCCGTGGCGAATTTCAGATATGTATGGTACAACATTTTTACGACAACAATATAAGCTCCCTCTGCTGCCATCCGAAGGACATTAAGAGGAGAATATCGAAGCTCACCGACGAGGATATCGCGGACATTAAAGGTTTACCGTCGATCGCGAAGTATCTAAAAACGTCGAGTGGATCGACAAATGGGAAGGACGACGACGAGCATGGTGATGAAAAATTCAAGGTGTATGTTGTTCATTGGCGCGAGTTATATCTGTCAAAAGTGATTCCAACTTGATATCATTCCGGTGGAAATTGTAATCTGACGTTTAATATCGGGATTTCATTGTCTAGTTCAATTCTTAATAGAAATGAAATTTTCACGATTTGCTACGAGCGGAGATGTACATTAAAACGTGCATTATTTCCGCTGGTTCCGCATTTTTCAATTATTCTCGAGTTTTAAACTTCGTCGCTTACAGGAATTATTGAAAACGCTATTAAGCAAATTTCACGGATTTATGCATCAATTTCTGATCGTTTTGAGATGCTTACACTGCCTGGTCACCTCATTACCCGGCTCGCCGATGGGTAAACAGGTATATGAATAACGACGCTTCATTAACATACTTGCTACCGCGGTTTATTTAGGAAATTCTTCCACGATATATTTGTTTTCATGTAATTATATAGAAACAAAACTGGATTTGCATGCGAATATACCAAGAAAAGTATCGTTATCGTATATAGTTAACGTCGATAGTGCGAACATGTTGAGTAAAATTGAGAAATTTGAGTAAAAATGAACTTGAAAGTGAGACAATGCGGTGTGTCACACGTGCGACAATGGTAGCGAATGTGTTAATTTGGAGGGAACATTGCGCGAAAAATAAAAGAGAATGTCGTACGACACGAGCAGCGAGAGGGTGCGATAAACGAGATCGTTTCAGTTGCGGGAGGTTTACACCAAAGCGGTTTACACGAGTAATCTCATGGACTCGGCAGAATACAAGGAGTGCCTGAAATTACTGGGATTTTTGTCGAAGGAAGAACTACTTTCGAAGCTTGAGTCTATCGTAAAGATCGTCGGCGATTCCGCCGATCCGACCATCATAAGTATAAAGAGAGACCTCGAGACTCGCATCGAGACGATCCGCGAAGCTAGTTTGGACGTCGCGAAAGCCCCTTCAGAACTCGTCACGGTGAATGATAAGCTCAGTCGTTTGCAACTAAAAGAGGTATGTACGAAGTTGTATCCTTCAGTTGCGCTCTTGATTTTATCAATTCTCTTCCCTCGCGGGAATTCTCAACGTAACACTTTGCTCTGCATGTTAGCGCAATGTTTCCGTATCAAATCTAACGCGACGCAAGCTGTTTCTATTTTAATGAACTGAATAATTTATTCTTGGCAAGGCAAACATTTGAAATGAATTCGTGTTATTTCGAAGTGACGAACTATTTATTTATTTATTCCATTATTATTCATTCGTTTGATTTATTACATCGATATTCAATTATCGATTTGTTTCGCAACTGTAGTTATAACGCTTTCAAAAGAAGCGGTTCATGAAATGCTGTGTTGTATAAAAGTCAACTCCTCTTACGCTTTATACACTATTCACGAGGTCTTACCGTTTTACGTAAAGTCACGTAAATTGTCTCGTCGCTCGCTCGCGATCCGTGGTTCAGAAATGAAGACCGTCTCGGCACACGGGAGCGGAAAAAGGAAGTAATCGCTCGACTGCCGCGTGCCCTGCTTCCAGAAATTGCTGAAAATGAGTCAGCAGCAATCTCGGTCCGCTTACAAGCAGGCGCAGCACGACTTAATCGATTACCTGGACCGACGTGTGTTCTCCGTTCACTTGGTCGACCCGAGTCGCGTGACGGCTCACGAGATTTTCTGCTACAGCGATGGGAACCAGGCGAAGCACCACATTCGCGGTTCCTTGCGGGCCGTCATACACACCGGATTGAGCGATCCGCAAATATACTTGGACGTGAGTACGAGGAGATATTCCACACGAACGACTCGCACGTAAAAGAACGTAAACGGACCCCGCATAGAAATTTCTTAATATTTTCCCAAGTACAGGTTAGATTCCAGTAAAAATGTCCAACTTTATCCCACAATTGATTATCCCATTATGATACTAATTGAGAATCCCATTCTTGTCCCAAACATGAATTCTAGAATCGAAATCTTTGGGAAAACCAAAGGAAAACGACCAAATAAAATTTCTGGGTTTCCCATTTAGACTCGCATGTTTAAAACATTACACTTCTAACTAGAACCTGCTTTTCCGCCTAGAAGCTATAATTATTGTGGAAAATCGGGCTGAATCCTAATTTATTTTCTACGTGGGACAACGCAACGGCGAGTAAACATTCGAATTTCGCGATGCCGAACGGATGAACAGTTTTCCAACCGCGATTCGCTAATTGGTCGAGTTTAATTTTCACCAGCTCGTCTTTCGCGCGTCGCCAGTCTCTCTCTTGTCTTCGACTGCTCTCAAGTTTCTCCGATTCTCGCGTACGGTTTGTGATATACGCGTATACACAGCGGGTGGACTTGGCTATTAATATCGCGATTCATTTTTAAACACGGTCGATTTGCAGTCGGCCCGCTCCGCGGCGACATTTAATCTTCCTTTATACGAACGATTCATCGGCGCGACCGCTGAAAAATTGCGCCTGTCCGACTCCCAGCCAGCGGCGGGTCCGCGGCGCGGTTAATTGGAAATACATATTTCAGTGTGACTGCTGCAAATTGGAGAACGACGACGACATTCCGCGCACGCTGCCCGACCTGAGTATAATTTATAAGCTACACTTGGAGTCCAGGAAGCTGATCAATATGTACGACTGGCTGCAGGTAACAATCCTACCGGTGCTCATGTTTACAGGTTAATTCCTGTATTACACTTACAGTCACGCACCGCTTGGCTGGCCGGCCGGCCGTTCGTCTTGTGATTTTAATCGCCGCCGCCGTCGCGAGTGATTCACGCAAGCACGTCACTGTAAGCAAGGCGCGCGCAAGGGGTGCCGAGTGCTTTATCGCCGGCCGGTTGTTAGGAAGCCGGTAAAATGTTTCACATGAAAATTGCGCCGGCGAGAAAGAGAGAGGAAGAGGGAGAGAACGCGAGCACACTCCGCCGAACAATTCAACGTCGACGATCGACAATCACGGAACTCTTAGCGGACATTTAATATTTGAGACTTTAATGAGAGTCTGGAGTTTGTTAATTGCACCCTCTAACGAGAAGTCTTACATGTTGAGTTTTTAACACCGCATACTCGTTGACGATCGAGTGTTTTTCTCTTGTTTTTAGATTCTTAGATTCGTTTTCATACCATGTCTGAGCTGAAAACTCGTCTCACGTGAGATACCTGGCTCTGAGCTCTAAGTTCGATGCGAACAGTTATAAGTGCGTCGCGTGCGGATGCAACGCAAAAGTTCCGATCTATTTCCAGACCCAGATCTGAATTTTTCACGCAAATCTTGGACGGCGATTATAAAGTAAACAGTCATAGACTGAGAAAAAAAAACTTGGAAATTTATTTGCGTAAATATAGTATAAAATTTATCCGCAGAAACAAACTTTATACTATATTCTTTCTAAACTTATTCCGCAAATAAATTCTTAGACGTACCTAACACGATCAGTCTGCACTTGGATCCGCTGATTCGTCAGTTTTGATATCGTTAGATACACGATACAATGTTTTTTTTTTTTTACAGGCGTTCCTGACTATTGCGAGTCAGACACAGAGTGCGCAGGAGCAACGTGACGTGGATCCGCGAATGCAGTATCCTTTGCAAAAGTTTTCGCGAGGCAAGCTCGCGTACTCAGGCCCGCCCGTTCAACGTGATCGGCTCTTCTCGTTGAGATTTGTCTTACTGCGCGCGTTGCCTTTGAAATTCATATCACGCCTCCTAACGCGGGAATCGTAGCCTCGTGGAGGTAACTTCCTCGAACTAGATACCACCCTCTAGTTTGAATAATTCGCACGTGTTATCTCGCATTTCATCACGTAGTAACTTATCCTTAACGGGGATTCAGAGCTCGGTTTACTCAAGCGGTCGCCGCCCTGCAGTTCCTCGGCTTCATCAAGACTTCTCGAAGTAAAACGGATCATGTAAAGCGTCTTACGTAAGAACAATATGCGCGTTTGATTATTTGCACTGTTTGTGTCTTGCGCGTATGCACGCGCGCAACATTATTTATGTATGCGAAATATTATTCATGAATTATGTATGAACACGTATTTTCAAGTTATTGTATTTTGTGCCATTTATATGGGGGCGAATGGAACAGTATTAAAATGAAAGGAGTGCCTATGTATATATATATATATATATATATAT